CTGCAGCTACCATATCACAGAAAGCATACATTAACTAAATAACAAGGTACCATCAAGGCATCATCTATCTTTTAAAATCATTTTTTTACACTGAATTTTTTATACCATGCTGACTTTACAAAGAAAACAAAGTATCAACTAACAGCATCAACCACTTTTTAGAATTCCTTCTTGTAAGACGTGAAGACATCTTCAAAATGAATACAATATATTATTATGAAACAGGATGTCCTTTGTAATGAAAATACTGCAGTAAAATTGCTGGTACAGGTTTTACAGGACCCACACTGAGAGCACTTTGTTTGAATACGTCTGAGAGCACATCCCAGGAACACCTGGTATAACAGAACAAGGCTGGCAGGGGGAAAGGGAAAATGCATTTTATCCTGTCATCTTTCACTTGGTAAAGGGTGGATGAGAATGGCAAATGTGTGCATGTGTGTTTACAGGTTGAGAAGCAACCCAAGTGCACAAGACAGTGCCCAAAGTGCTCTCATATCTGTGCCCAGACACCTGCAGTGCCTTCCTTCCGAAGCGCTGCAGGACTTTACACACTGTTTGAAGGGTTGCAGGAATTGTATAAAGATGTCTTTGACATACCCAGAGAGATGCAGTTACTACAGAGAAGCATGAAAAGTGCTGGTAACCAGGGTTTACAAAGTTGATAAACATTCCAACTGAAAATATGGAGTGAATTTCTCTATTTACAAATTCTACATCTACCTAATGTGATTTTGCAAAATGAACAAATGCCCACTGATTTTCTTTAATGACTGCAACAGCAAATTTTAAATCTTTGGTAAACTGAGTAAATGCCCTAACATTTTTAGTTACCTGTCTTGCAACAATTAGCTCAGAATCAAGATACCCTTTGGCTTCTAATTACCATTAGATTGTCAGAAATTTATTCTTCTTTATCACACATCTTGCCGTCATTATCCATGTTTTTTCCGAGACTGCAAATATTGTCATCTATGATAAACTTGGCAGATGATCTGGGAATTCTTGGTAGATCACAATATAATTAGAAATAAGGATAATTCACAACAATATAATTAGAAATAAGGATAAGTCACATAATACGGTGATTGTTAAACTACACCTACATAAAGTTGAATGCAGTTCTTACTGTAGCGTAATTTGTCAATTCTTGAGAATAAACAACAGGAACTCACCACAAAATACCAAGAGCCAAACACAAACCAGGGCATTATAGGCAACACATTCATACACTTGGGGAATAAATCCCTACATAATGTTGCTTTCAAAAGTGGGAAATTTTTCTGCAAACTTTCCACTTCCAATGTTTCTGCATCCATTTTTTTTCTCACACGTTCTGCTAGGACTGGAAAAGAATTGTACTGTATTTGCTCTTGTGTTTCATAGCATTACAGCTATGAACTGCAGTGGTAACAGTTGCACAGACACATGGAATGACAGGTTTACTCGTGGTCACCATTCCAACACTCCTAGGGCATATTTATGGAGCTTAATACACTCATTAGTTACTACTGCAGCTAGTTTGTTTGGTTGGTTGTTGTTGCTGCTAGTTTGTGGGTTGATTTTTGATTTGTTTTTTTGTTAATTTAAGATTTTTTTTCTTATTTAAGGTGAGATGTTATTTTGTCCTGTGTTTTCTACAAAGGTAATTTATTAAGAGGCATCTTCATCTACTTGGGGTTTTTTATCGTTTGATTGGCTGCTGTTACATCTTCCTTTATAATGCACAGTGGCTTGTAAAACATTGGATCTGAGAAGTGAATAACCAATGCATTAAGAATCAGAGAATTAGCTTTTTGCTAATTCTTAAAACAATGAAATCTATTTCTTCAACACAAATAATCAGCAATTTCCTAAATGTGAAGACAGGCCCTGAAATTATAAAGGGCAGTAGGAGTGCAATACAATCCATCTCATTGAGGATCAGAATGCTTTGTTTCTGGAGATCCAGTTTTAAAAGAAAGTTTATGAACCACTAAATGCAATCCAAGCTGTTGGCGTGACATTACAGCAGTTATGCTATTCCTACCTGCTACAACATACAGTAATACCACTGAATAAAGACACACTGGTGTCCCATGGAAATTGAGACACATTAAGTCTCAAATATTAGAAACAGTTTTGATGCCCCTCACCACTGTGTTACTTGTTCCCAAATACAAATACATTAAAAAACATCAAAGAGAAGCTACAAACAACAGGATATCACTTGCTGGGTATTGCCTCATAAGCGGCACAGCAGGATGCACCAGACAGAAGAGATAACCTCAATGTCATTAACAGCTGTAACCTAAGCAAGTGAACAAACAGGTCCTCTTGCCTCCAGCACCTCCTTCTCCCTTCCTCAAAACTCCAGCAACCACTGACAAACTAGACTCTGTTTCACCGCAGGAAAGAATGTGGGATGGTGAGGCAACAGCTTCTCAGCCAAGCCCATTCAGCATTCACCTCTGAGCGGGAAGATATTCTGAGGTCAGATTTATTTTCCACTGACCATATCTATCAAGCGTCCAGATGTCAAGATTACAGTGGTCAGCTAAACTCGTACCAAAAACATGCATATAAACTGGCTGTACTTGGTTTTAAAAAGAATTTGAAAGTAAATGCTTGGAATGGGCAATTCCTTTAATGTTCACTGCTCTCTTGATTTCTAATCTTCAACTCATGTAAGTGACAGAATTTCAGAAGATTCTAGAAAGTCTTGCACCTCAAGTGTGACCACCTGCTCTCAGTGCACTATTTTTTGCAACCTTTATAATTTTAATATCCAATGCTACTATTAACAATACTAATTGCAGAAATCAAAAAGAGGAGTGAAAACATAGTAACAGCAATAAAGAGAGAATTATATAAAAAGGTGGCAGGAGAACACAGAACATGAGTACAAATACAGTCATATACAAATTAATAATTGAGTTTTTGATTCCATTGCTGCACTTATTTTCTCTCTACTATTCTTTCTTGCAACCTACAGCTGATACTAAGATTGGCATTGGCTGATACAAAGTACCAGAAAACCAAAGAAAGAAAGAAAGAAAGGGAAAAAAAAAGCACAGCTGCAAGAAAAATGTTACAGAGGAAGCAAATGGACACTAACTACAAATAACAGGTCAAAACTTGGAATTTTACATTATTAAAACAATAGCGGGGCAAAAACATCAAAAGAAAAAAGAGCAGATTGGAACCACCCAGAAAAAGACAGCATTGGAAGGGAAGGAGACAAAGACAAAAAATACATAGAGAGCTAATCCATTTCACGTCTGTGAGGGCGGAAAAGAGCACGGAAGAAGAAACAAAAAAAAAATCACAAATAAAATCGCAGTAAATCTGAAGTATTTCCTACAGATTTCACAAGTAAGAAAATAATTAAATTATATAAATAATTGGTTGATAAGCAGTGAAATATAATAAAGATAAACTTTTCATACTTATATGGTGATTGGGTGCTGAAGCAATAGCTCCCCTTCTGCTCGAGGTCAGAGAGGATCCTGGAGCCCAGGCTAAAAATCATCCACATTCAGCAATAGCAGCATAATGGAAAATGGAAACTGTATGTTCAGAAAGCAGGATGAGAACTTGAGGTCCACAACAATAACTCTTCATGACCCATCTTTTCATAACTGCAGACTTCATAGTTAAGAGAGAGATTGCCAGTAGGAGAAAAAAGATGTGGAAATACGGTAGAGAGAGCAGCAAATGTCCACCTGATCCTGAAAAAAGCAAAGTGTGAGGAGAAAGAGAAGCAGGATCTATGTGCACAGACAACACCCTGAGAAGATTCAGTCTCATTTATGAATGCCCTTCAGCTGCCAGAATTCCCTTACAGCAAGCAGGGTCTAGCAGATGGATACAGGATACCCCTCACCAATCCACCTGGTTTCTATGCCCATGGGCTGGATGAGTGGGGATTCCCCATCCCAAAGCACTCCAGGGACTCCAGGTCACCAAAAGATTTTGAATAGCACACAGAAAGTCCAGGCAGAACTGCTGCCACCAATGCTGTCTCATGGGTTGCTGTATGCCACTAATGCACCAGCTTGGCATCAGGATGACCCAGAAATGAGAGCTCTTTCCTACCTTTGAACTAACTCTTTGACGTACCTTGAATTGATAAGGCACCATCTAACCCAAAATATTTTTGTGCAAGCTGTACAAGTAAGATTCTTGAGACTGCTTTGAAAATTCTTCTTATCAGAGTCCTTGAAAAACCTAAATTCTCATTTTTTCTTCCCTAGATTCAAAGCCACAAGCAACCATGGACTAAAAGGCTGAACCTCTGTATCAGAGCTCGCTCTCTTTTCCCTTCCTCACCCAACCCCACAAGCAGTTTAACTTTGACTCAACAACAGTTGTTTTATAAGCTAAGGGAAAAGGCAATTGAGTCTTTTTGAATATAAACCCTTTTCAACTCAGTTTCAACTTTTAAGCTTTGTGTGTAAAATTCAAAATTGAATGCACTCAACATGCAATTATTGTCACCAATACTAAGGAAAAAAGGCATGTTAGATGTTTATTTATCTCATTCTAACAAAATGATCTAGCAAGACCTCTTTCTGACTTGGCTGGAAAAACCCACACATCCTGGCCAAGTTTTCATAATGACTTCGATTACGGGAATTCAATATAGTAATAAAAAGAAAAGCTAAATGAGCTTTTGCCAGTGGCTCACAGGTCCATCCCTTAGAGCAGAGCAAAAGTCAGACTGCTGACCATGCCTGGTGAACACCAAACTTCCTGTAAAAACGATGCACTTGGTTTCCTGAAAGGAAGCAAAGCATAAGCTGCTCAAACAATACACAAGAAAGCTCTGATATCTGAGCCACACAGTTACAAATCTGTCCTGTTAGAAAAATACAGCGTCACATCAGTGACCAACAGAGACAAGCACAAAAATTGAGTGGGAAACTGAATTTGGGAATTCTCAACTTGAGAATAACTCAATGGGAAAGCATAAGATTAGCTAAAGAAATAGATAAATTGTTTCAATGGGATGAAATTACCTGTAAACCTTTTTCTTTCGTTCCACAACTGAGCTAAAATTCTGATTCTCCACTCTGTTCATGAAACAAGACATAATTCCCTATGAAATGGTTACACCCAAACAATATTAACAGTAAAATGCTAGTTTTTATCTCTAACATGCAGATAAGGATTATTCTCATTCCAGCACGTTTAAAAGCATTCCACATTACCTATGGAATTATTTTCATTCTCTATTAAAAATAGTTCTTTCACCTTACAAAACTATGCGATTTGACCCACTGAAGTTTATTTGGTTCATCTTTTGTTTAAAAATATTTTTAAGTAGCATTTAAATTTGAATTAGCTCCATGCTTGGAATCAGTTCCTTTTGCAACACGTTTCTTTTTCTTAATCTTTTTGTTTTGTCTTATTTAGAAGACATACTTCTCTTTACTCACAGAAAATAAAAATCCTTCTGCACACTAATTACAATGACTTTTTTTTTTTAATGGAGTGCAGACACAGCAATGAAATATGTGCTGTGTCAGTATTATTCTGAATACTGAAAAATGTCCATTTATACATTTTAAAAACATTTTGTAACAAGTTTTTATAATAAGCTGAAAGATTTCAAGAAAAGAAACAGCATTTTAACTGAAAGAATTAGAAGTTAGCTACTTCTTTCAGTCCTTTCCAAGTTTAAAAAGTCACAGCTGAGACAGCAAGCTTCTCTTACCCACAAAGTTTCAACATAGAGCATAGCACAGACAGCAACTACATCAAACACACCCAAGCTTCCCTTGCTGCTCATGCAAGCCTTCAGCCACACAAAAGCTTTCACAGCATCCTCAGCAACAGCAGCACTGACCAGGCTGGTGATGGGGGAGCCAACTGCTGCCTCCATCCCCCTGCGCTGTGCAGATATTCCCTGCCTGGCAAACATCGCAGCCCCACTGCTGGCATTTCTTGGCCCTAAACAAAAACACTTAGGAAACCACTCAAACAAGTGCTACGGGGGCAGAACTACACTTTTCTTTATTACTACCATATCCACTCTTCTGAAGAGTCCTGGCAATCTGCCATTTTATCTGCCATTTGGAATTAATTCCAGCACCCTTTTCTTTCATGTTCCTTCAGTATAACTGGCTACATTTTACTGTACCATAATGTTTTCTGAGGCTGCTGGAACTAACAACTCACAGTGGAATATTTCTCTACTACCTTTTATTTAATTAGCACTATGATAATTTAGCCAAAATTCCCTGTTTCTGTACAGTACAGAGAAACCAAACTATTCAAAAATCACCAATATTTTATTTTTAAATATATCCTTTTTATTGGCTTTCCCAATTTTCAGTCTTTAACTTTCTGCTTTTGTCAGTAGCTACATACTAAGACTAGGTTAATATTTTTTTTTAATTTTATGAAAATTTAAATCTCATATAATCATATCGCTCTAGAAGTTGAGTTTCATAGTGTGTTGTAAAATTTAACAGCTGGGAGTTTTGCCTGAATTGCACAGTATATTTACAAAATGTTTAATTCACTGTTTGTTCTCCAATACTCAGATTACTCATGCTAACAAGAAGGTTCATTGCTACCTAAAAACAAGCTTAAATGTTGATGTTAACACATAGATGCTGAAACAGGCTTTTGTACTGAAGCACTTTAAAACATTTCCAGTCAGCCTCCAAGCACAACCTTGCTGTCATTACTTACAGGTTTGTCATTGTAGTCGAGAAAGGAGCAGGGAAACAAAGGACTGTTCAAGCGAGCAAACAGACAAACAAGAAAAATCGGAAAAAGGGGCACTAGAGAAAATGATGCAAACACAAAAGAGAAAAATGGCTTAGCATCAGAATTATTATAGGGATGGGTCAGTCTTTTCTTTATTCTTTTACTTTATAAGGCAAATATGGGAAAGAAGGTACAGAGTAATTTATTTTAAAATGGAAACAAACTTCGGCATTCTTCCAACTTTGATTCCACCATATCACTGATTGATAACCTTTACTTTCTTCCAAAATTACTCTAAATTCTAAAAAAATATTTTTTTTAATCAATACTTTGAAGTGCCATTCCATTACAGCCATTGTGAAATGCACTTCTTTCTCTAAGTTTTGAAAGTATATTATTTGAAAGAGTATTATTCTATCAAAACCTTCCCTGTGCTATCCAACAAGTCTTCTCTCCTTTTCCATAAGGACCTGCTTTAAAAAAATTCAACAAAATATTAATAATGAGACCTGAACTTCTTGGCCTATTCCAGCTATCACAGCAGAATCTCTGGTGTGGATGCTGATTTGATAACGAACAAAAGCTTTTGCCAGGTTGTTTTCTCTTGTTCAAGGAGGGAGCACAGCACAGCAAATGGGATCTCACTGTTCTTCTGAAAATGCTAGAGTAGCAGATGCTCTGTAATAATACAAACAGTCAAAACCAAATAGTGATTTCCTTAAAATTGACCCTGTCAACTAAATTGTAAGAAAAAGATTCCTCAGGCATAATAATATGTTACAAATGGGAATCAGAAAATCAAGTGGACAGAGAAGTATATCAAGTAACAGTCAAAGGAGTGGAATAAGAAGAGGAGTGGATAAAAAACAGAAACCTTTTACTAGAATTCCTCCTTTAAAAAGTGTTGTGAGTTGTTTTTCTCCCTTCCATATTTCCAAAGTTAAACACTGTCTTATTTGTTGTAAATACAAAACTCACACTAGTTGCAAGTTTCCAGGATTTGATCCAGCACAGAACAACTTACAGAAGGGCTGTACAGGAGGCTCTTACAAACCAAGGGGATCTTTACAGCTACTTCGGCTGCCTTAATGTACACTCTCAGTTACTTCATAGCATGATTAGCATACAGTCCCAGTGAATGATCTATTACTGTATAAAACTATTTACCAATACTGATTTTACATTATAAATATGATAGTGACTCACCACTAGAAAGTCATGACACAGTAAAAAAGAATATATATACTGAGGTAGGGAAATACTTCACAAAGTCATAGTTACAAAGTGAGCTGCAAAATACTAAATGAGATGGTGTAATTTGATAAAATCACCTGTAAGAAAACTACATATATACTATCCAAAGTTAGCTCTGTATCCCGCCCCACCGTCCAAATATTTTTCTGTATGACCTCTGTGAAAAACTGAGGTTGATCTCCAGGCAGGTTAATCCCAAATCTTCTCACTAAATCTTAGTTTCTTTCATTTTGAAATTCAAGCAAAAAGAGTATTGTTCACTGATCTCCTGTTTTCCTGAATTGTACAGACCTAAAAGATGTTCCATTCTGGTTTGACACTGCTCTTACAGCCAATTCTGGTCAGTATCATAACCTTTCATTGCTTTTCTGTCAAAATATGAATTTTATTTCAGCTTGCAACTTATGGTATACAGTCAAAATATGCACCTGTCCTATTGAAGAAAGTATATTGGGAAGGATAGATGTCTTCTAACTGGCTAAGAGGTTTTATTTTTGAAGATGTACTTCAGAGTTACCTGTACCTGAAGACAGGTTTGCCCCTGATCTGCCAAAGAATGGGCAAAGAGTTTATGCTGTCTCTCAGCAGCAAAAAACTTGCCCCGAAGGTCATATCTGACTTATAGGCCATTTTTTTATAGATTTGCCTAACAGTCTGCTCTACCTGACTTGTCTCAAAAGCAAACTTCTTAACATTTTATGCAAACATTATATAACCTTAAGTCTGAGTTATAAATCCAAAAACTCACTTAAACTTGAGGAACCTTTGCAACAGGAAATAGTCTCTCAGCTGAAATTCTGCTGTAATTAATATTAGCATTGCTAAATTTTCTCCAAACAAGTATTATAATATTTATAGTTCAAAGAGAAAACATGATAATTGAGATACTGCATAGAATTTGAGGGAAGAAAGTTTAAAAGTAAAATTTAAGCCTCTAAAATTAATGAGTCCAGACAAACTCAGAACTTGAAAAGTTCTTGTGTTAGGATGTATGAGTCTACATTTTATAATCACAAACTTCAAGAGCAGTCTCCACACAAAAATGTTTCTCACACGCCAGAATGCTACAGTTCATTCAAACAGAGTTAAGGCTCAGGTAGAAATAATTAATCATTCTCTTAAATCAAGCCTCAATATATCTGGAGGCCTACTTCGTCAGTAAAATGATTTTTAAATATTGGTATTAGAAATAGCCTGTGTGACCACAGCTGTTTGACATTTTAATGTTTTTCAAAAGGCTCCTCTGGGTTTGGATTATGAAGAATTTTTTAAGGGAAAACAGAAAACCACACCACAACAAGATACCAATAGGTCATAGACTCCTGTTTTTCCTTGTCTTTTATAAAAATACCTTCAGGGAAAGGTACTTGTGGGTTCTTTGCACTATAGATATCATATTATCAGAATGCATAAGAAGTAAGCAGTATTCAGAACTATCTTTCCTCTATGCAGCTATATAAAGAAGAAAAATGTTGAACTACGATTACTTTACTAAGGCTTATCCTGTGACCATGGGTCCCTCGTCCTCTTTTACGTTATCAATACATATAAAATTCAAAAATATTTAAAACTATTTTTATTTTTAAATTTTGGAGAATTCATTTAATTATTTTGTTGTAAACACAATATACAGTACTACCTTTGAGGTGTATAAACCTACTCCAAGCTTTTCACACCCATGAGAGAAAATACAAAATTAAATCTAAAAAGATATTTTGCCATGGTTTAAGTTCATGACATTTTTACCAGCAGACAGGTTCTTAAAAGTATGTCTTAGATAATGACACTTTCTTGCACTTTGTAATTTAGTGTTTTCTTTGCTAAATATGGCTGACTCTTAGTACTGAAAACAGAAGACTAAAACCACACTGACTCATTGCTTTGGTAGTATAATATTTCACATAGAATGCAGTCAAGAGTTTTATAATTCTTCCTTTTTAGGGAGCTACTACAAGCATATTCTACTTTTTCCCCCTATATGAGGAACTAATCAGAAAAAGAATATAACTATTCTTTCCCATATAGGCATAACAGAGTGATTAATTCTGAGACGGTACCAATAGAACACAGGAAAATATTCTGAAATTAAGATACAATTTAC